TGCGAAAAATTCGTTATTAGAAATCGCGGCCGCCGTTTCATGTGCTGTTCCGCAACGAAAACCAGCTTTAAGCAACGGCGTAGTCGAACGGTACACACTCGGTAAGTAATCCTATAATTTTTTGTTTATAGCATAGTTTATACGGATTACTCCCAAAAAATTATACGTGTTTTGGAAATGTTGAGTGGAATTAGTCTAGAATCGGTTAATTTTATAGAAGAAAACCTTTCAAACAGCCTTAGTCCGTACATTTCCCACCTATCGGGCTGCGATTGGCTCATGTATTTAATCATTCCTACAACGTAAAATTCGATTAGCGTGGAACGTATCTAAGCGTTATAGGGGGTCTACTGTATAAATATTATAAGTTAATAGTAATATGTAATGTATGTTATGAATATACTTAAACTTATTATATATAAATATACAACATATACGGTATATTTTTGTTATAATAAAATATATACAGTATTATTATTATTAATGAGCCAAACGGATGGCAGAGGCAGTTATTCTCACGGCTTTGGTAAACCCAAAGTCGAATCCGGACGAAAAATCCGAAGAATTTTTTACCACCGGACTTTTAGGACCTCGTCCCTGGTTATCTAGCCCCTTTATTGAGGCCAGTGACGTGTGGAAAGAGGCCCTATGATTGCCCATAGGGCAGAATGAGTATAATAATAATAATATTTCTAGTTTTCAATTGCAATTAATTATGAATTATTTCGTTTTTTCTGTATAATTAAGTATTCGTACATTTTACAGGTAATAAGTGGATTCTATTCCGTTTTTTCAACTTTAATTCAGCTTACTGGTGTACTTGGCAAGAAGAGCTGTTCTAGAATTTCAAGAGTTAATGATAGTAATAATGAAACTATTTCTTATCATGTATAAATATGTTCTTAATATTTCAATTGTCGCAATTTCACAATTAAGTACCATTATTATTATAGAAAATACTTTGAAGAAATTTAATAATGTATACTTAATCGTTTACTTAATAACAGAATTTTCCATATTTTTCTGTTGAACAAGTGACGATGTCTGGCAATTTTGCTGAATAATTAGACATCGAATTATAATTTCTAATGAATATGCAAGACACTTAAGCATACGTATACGTGCATATAAAATTGAAATGTATTGTAAAAAATAAAATGTATTCTGCACAAATATGTAAACCTGTGAAGTAAAGACTTTCAAAAACGATTCATTTTGTTTTTAATAAGCAAAATATTTATAAATATTATGGAAATAAAATAGTTAATGTTCTGTATTTTAATTATAATATCTGCTTTTGTTAAGATATTATGAATAGTTAAAACTGAAATACCTTTATATATCTGCTATTTCTAACTAAGAGAAATACAAAGCGAATACGTTACGACAATTTGAGTTTTCTGTTTGTTTATGGTTATAAATGATCAAGCAATTTTTCCTAAAAATTGTGGTGAAGCAAAAAAATAACTAGATCAAGAAAAAAATAATGTATAATGCTATTGTTAAAAGCATTCTATTACACGGAGCGGAGGGATGGAGAATGACTGGGGAAGAGAAAAGTAACAACAGTTGAAATGGATGCATTGAGAAGATCGTGAGGAATTTCGAAAAGAGAAAGAATAACTAATGAGAAGATCAAAGACCTAATGGGATTGAAGGAGACAGTTTTGGAAGAAATACAGAGGAAACAACTTATTTGGTTTGGACATGTGAAAAGAATGAGTGATGAGAGACTCCCGAAAACATCAATGAAATACATTCCACAAAAAAAAAGAGAGGAAGACCCAGGCGAACTTGATACTGCGGAGTAAAGTTAGCATGTAATAAAAACGGGATTAAAGAGGAATGGTGTATGGATAGAGAAAGATTGAGAGGGTTCCTGGAGATCTGAAGGCGACGTCAGACGCCATAAACCGAATATAGATAGATTTTCTCGTAAAAATACTCGCCTATGCCTTTTGACAAACATTTCTGAAATTTTGCAGGAAAGTTTATTAGGGGATTGATGATATTAAATTTTGTCGATTAAAGCGGGAGATAGAAGGAGGTCGTGTATCGTACTTCGAGTTGGGTTGGAGTTAATGAAGATTTTACTTGCTATTAGCATTTAAAACTTTTTTTAGGGGCAAGACACTACTAATTTGAGGTTATGAAGTTTCATAATCATACGTCGTGTTTCGTTTACATCTATGTTAAAACAGTAATAATTTGAAAACGATTGATGTAGTAGGCATGCTTAACGGCAGTTTGTGTAGATGTAAGGTTTACAGGTGTATTTTTGGAGATAATTTTTAAGGAAAAGAAAAAATATCGATAAAAATTGATATCTTGGAAATGGATTGTAAATTTACCGACTTTTTCATTTACCGGTAATTCGGTAAATGAAAATTAAAATACCGGTTTACCGGTAAATTACCGGTAAATTTTTTCCTGAAAAATAAAATTAAGGTGATAAAAAATATAAGTAATTTTGATTTCCATTTCACATTTTCTATTTCAAAGGTATAGAATATAAAAAATATAAAAATTAAAGTGTTATTCTAAACAAACTATAATAATAACTTTTAGAAACATAAATAAAATAATACAGAAAAATAAAAATAAAACAGAAATAATATATAGTACCTAATACCATTTTACTGATTACCATTTTTTAAAAAATAACTTCTCAAGAAACTTAAATTATTTAAAGTCTTATCTCCTAATTTTGATCTAATTTTTGTACAAAATAATCCGGGTTAGGTTAAGTTTCTAGACTTTTTCGGACATCATCTTTAAGTAATAAAAATCTTTCCAGCATGTTTAGTAAGCTATTCCACCGGGTTCTACAATCTAAAATTAAAGAAAGTTCTTTTCGTGAGAGTAATGGGGATTCCCCACGAAAATAAGGTTAGAATAATACATATTTGCACAATCTTAAGGCATAATGTTAGAATCTTGTAATAAATATTTGTATTTAATTATTTTAAACAGTTGTTAGAAGTAAAAAATTTATTTAAGGTACAAATTTTAATGTTATTTTGCAATAATATTGCATTAATGTCCTGTCATAATGTGGTGTATTCAAAATTGCTATTAATTTAAAAAATACGTGAAATATTTACGTATTATTATTTTTAAATATTAAAAAAAAAGATATTTACTTACTCTTTAAGAAAAACGTTGATTGTAAAGATTTTAAACCTTTAAAAATCTCAAAAAACGGCAGAGCACAAATCACATATGCTAACTAGAGCTTTCTGTACAATTTACAGTGCCTCTCAAACCCAAGAAAGTTTAAATTAAAATTAAACAAAAAATATCTCACATAAAATTAATAATTAGGTATATTGTTGCTTACACTTATCTGTTTTTTTTTTTTCAATGTTTCTTTAGCCCTTTTAAAATATCTATACACACAATATTTTCTACATAAAAATTTCTAGTATCAATTTTTCATTTACCGAATTACCGGTAAATTTCAAAAATTTACCGGTAAGTTTACCGAATATTCTTTTGTCAATTTATCGGTTAACCGGTAAATCGGTAAACCGGTATACAATCCCTACTTGGAAACGAATAGACGGAACTGAATTTGATACGTAGATCGGGAAAAAATAGCAGATGATGATGATGATGATGATGATACCCATATTTTGTTCGGGTGATTTGTATATCTTCAGTTTTTTATTAAAATGTGAATTAGAATAGAAAATGTGTTCTGTTTCCAGTACAGTAAAGTTCGGTCGCTTACTTGACGGCTTGCCTCAACCGAACCTTATGATTATTATTATTAATTTATAATTATTTATTTCATTTTGCATGCATTTTTCCAACCTTAATTATATTTTTTTTAATTAATTGCAACTCTTCTTTTGAGACATAACTATAAAAATTGATTGTGTTGTTTCGCACAAAAAATAATCAAATTTAATTTATTTTCATTTTTTTAGTAATTTCATTAATTTTTGTTTTATAAATTTGCCTGTTTTAAAAAAAAAAATTTTATTTTAATTTTGAGTGAATTAACATTAATTGAACTATCGGGCTTCCTAGTTTTTTTTTTTTTTAAAGTTTGAATCGAGGAATTTTTTACAATTCCCAGAAGCTTGTTTCCACATTCCAAATTGTCATGAAAGCCAAGTTGAAATTCTATTGTAACGAAAAAAGTACATATATTTCCTTTCATTATGTAAGGCAGAATAATAATATTCAATTGTTTCCTAGTAATATACTCGTTTTTTCGAGAAATAAAATGAAAGCAAAAGAATAAAATCTTTCAAATTCATTTTCTTGAAATTAATTATGCTTTAGAAAATTGAATTATTCGAAAATGTAAACAAATTTTAATATAAACTTTTCTTAATTATATAAATATTGTTTATAGCAACGTTTAATTATTATTAATCTATTAAAATAGTGATGTATGCAAGTAAAATCAAATCGAAAGTAAGAAAGCTCTCTCTATATTTTATTTATAATCTATACTATATCCATTGCAAGTACTGTATAACAAACATCGCGAAGCCCGATGTGAATATAGAAACAACCAAACGATCGCCTTAAATAATCGGGCCATAATTCCTCTAATTTAATGATTAATACTTGATTATATCACGATTATTTAAGGCGATCGTTTGGTTACGTTTCTTTCATTGCAAGTATTTATAATATCTGTATTTTGCAGCGTGTTCCCTTATCTTCAATATGTTTAATAGGTAAAATTAATGATTTTATTTAGTAACGAATATCAAATTCACTACATTGTGATCACTTTTTTATCATTAGATTTTAATTTTTTAGATAAATAGCTTTATCATCTGCTTCTTCATTTAAATGCAATTTTTACGCGGAATATTTAATATAACATTAAGATTTATTATAGTTGTATGTATAAAAAATGTATAAAATATATACATGCAAGCAGATCAAAAGAAATAAAAGTGGAAGAAAGAAATAAATCAAATTCTCCCATTACAAGTATTAAAACGATAAATGTGAATTATGTTTAATTTAAGATGAGTTTATGAAGTAACAACAACCTTGCACAAGTAAAAATTAAAAGAATAAATATAAAAGATAAATAAAATTACAATTAACATGTATATATTTTTAAATTTTTTTTGTATGATTATCTTTATTGAATCAAATTATTATAAAAAATCGTAACATTTTTGCTACACTCTAAAATCCTTTCCATAAAGTTCTGGTGAACTCAAACATATTAAAATATATAAATAAGTAATTAAAAATAGGTGCAAAAAACAAATAATATATTAAGGACAAATTAATGGATTGTCACTCTTCCAACCTATTACTTCCTCCTTATTCTGTTCTTTCAACCATTGATACAGAGGTTCGAAATATTCAAACATCGGTCCTGCATCCATTTTATTAGTAACTCCTCCAGTCATGATATTCATGGCTTCGTTCCAAATTTCAGAACTTCCCAATTCCAACATTTGACTGAAAATTTAGTATTTAAAAATTATGTTTTAAAATAAATATATCAAGCGGCCCAAAAGTTACATAACTGAGCTACACTTTTAATTAAGAATTATCGCACGAAGATTTAGTCTCTACCACTGTAGCGATTGAAAGGGCCAATCCGTATTTTACATGTACTGATATAAGTTTTAACCGAAATAATTCGAATTATACAAAATAAATATATAAATAAATAAAGTACCTCAAAACTTTTCCGGCATCCTTGGATCTATAAATATCGCATTTGTGAAGAGGTCCGGTATGGCCAGCGGCTTCACATAGTGATTTATGAAATTGGAACTGAATTACGTGACTCACAAAATATCTAAAAATATTAACTTTTTAATAAAGTGTTTCAGTTTCTAGTTTCTAGTTTATTATTTAAAAATGCATTACCTAACGTAGGGAGTGTTAGCAGGAACATGATATTTACAACCGGGATCGAAATCATTTTCAGTTCTATTTACTGGTGGACATATGCCTTGATATTTTAATCTAAATTTTAAAATTACATATGACAAATTTGATTTTAAGTAATATTAATTAAAAGAATTATACTTGATGGCCGAGTGATTCTGGTGGCATCACACCTCTCTGGAGGATCCGAAATCGAATCCAGACGGGTCGAAAAACCCCAAAAATTTTTAGGGGGTGATCAGTCCGGTAAGTCGGGCCCCTTACCTCAACACCCGGCCACCATATTATGAACCTAGCTGAACCCACATCGGGTTTGCCAAAAAAAGGTCCTTAGTGCCCACAAGTATGTGAAAAAAGTAAATTGAAAAAAAACTATACCTTAATTCCCACCATTTGGTATTTAATTCTGTAGATTTGATGTCTCCAGAGAATACTCCCCATCGCCATAGATCAATGAGATAGCCAAAAGGAAGAAAAGCTAATTTAGACAAGGCCGTAGAATAAAGAAAGTTGATGTCTCCCTCTAAAATGAAACAGAAACAAGTTAATTGATTTTGACTATTTCAGAATTGTTATTTATTTTTTTTTATTTTAAAAGAATTTTACTTTCGTCATCAGCAACTTCATCCAATAAACCGACAGTTTGAAGATGTTTCGGTGTAGAAACAGATAAAGCTAAGACATCGCCAACTGCTTCGTGAAATCCTAAATTTAACAATTGTTTTCAATTAATATCTTAAAAGTAATTATTAAATTGAATGTTCATTAATGACGATACCCGGATTAGCTCCTTCTCTAAAAACGCAAGGCTGATGAGCGTATTGCTGATAGTATTGAATGTGTCCCATTTCGTGGTGAGTAACAATGAAATCTTCCATGTTGATGCTTGTACACTGCTTGATTCTGTGGACGAATCATTTTATTTAAATTAAAATTTTAATTAGCAGTTAATTTAAGAGTTAAAATAAAACGTACCTGAAATCTTTTCCATCACAAAAGTCCCAAGCAGAAGCGTGACAAACGATTTCCCGATCTTTTGGCTTTTCGATAATTGATTTTTCCCAAAAATCTGTCGTCATGGCTTGTAGTCCCAGAGAAGTGAAAAATTCTTCAGCAGTTTTAAATATCTCCAAAGCAGACATGTTCTGTGTTAGAAAAAATATGATGTTTTAATTATTACATTGAAACAAAGCGGGAATTTCAGAATTGTACATTTCTCTCGAAATGTTTCATATTATAAATACCTTTGCTACCATCTTTGGTGTAATATCTACAGACGGTTTCTCTGGATAAGGAACGGTGCTTTCTAAGATTCCAGACCAATCTTGAGACCACATATTACCTGGAATTTACAAAAAATGTTAAACATTAAGTAACAGGATTATGAATAATGAATTTCTTTCTATTGCACCGTTGGAAGATGTGATAAGTACTAGCTGCCTGAAAGCCCTACATACGGAATTGTGACAGAGCCTTGGAAAATTAAATTGATAAAACTTGTAAAGTCGATGAATCAATTGCAAATTTAAAGCAACCGCACGACCACTAAACATCAGATTTTGCAAATACAGTCTGTTCTGAAATAATAGAGCCATTAATAGCGAGGTTGAGGCCGAAGTTTTCAACGCGAAAACGTAAACGTCGGACATTTCGCGCCGCCTTCCTATAAGCCTAGAAGTTTGACAATGGCGTTTGGAACGTCAGTAGAATGTCAAACTTCCAACGTGCCTCCAACGTGAGTTTCGGTGATAAAAAGACGACGTCAATTTACTTCTTCCGAAATACAGCCGTTAATAGATGTAGTCAAAACAAGAAAATATAATAGAAGGGAGAGTAGATTCAACTATTACTTTTTGCGGAAAAATTAAATATCGAAGATTAATTTGTGAAGAAGTGAATAGTGTTAATTACTATTCACTTCTTTGCATGTGTAAAATCGTAGATAAAATTCGATGCAAATGGATAAAAATTACAAAAGTGTTTCAAAGAAAAAAAACCGCTAGTGAATTTTCCCTATAATTGATTATAACAATTCTGTTTATAATTTTAACGTGATTAAGAGCTATACATGATATGTAAGCCTTTCCAAACGAGGTTTCAGTTTCTCAATTAAACTGAAATTCGTTTCCCTCGACATTCCCTTAAAATGTTCTTGAACTACATACCAGGCAAATGACAAATTTTCGATGAACTGTGTAATTTGTCAACAAAGAAACTTGAACACTCATCGGCCAGTTTGAATTGTATTGACTTACCACAACCCATTCTACGTCGTATATAACGACGTCTATGTACGACATTTTCGCTTACAAGTTTTTTGAATACCAAATTTTGTCTTGTCGCAACTTACGACGCTTTTTGCGAATCCGAAAATTAATTGGCCAGGAAAGTATAATATCTATTCCTGTATTATAAGAACAAAAGAAATATAGCCTAAGCCCTAAGTCATTAATTAATTTTAAAAAGGCACAAAACATAGGTAAGGAGAAGAAAATTCTTATTAAAGCAATGCCAAATAGAGTGTACAAAGTGATTATTAAATAAAGTGCATGTATTGCTCATTAATAATAAATAAAATTACTTATTATTTACTTATGGGCTAAGATATATAAAATCGAAATTTTCCATGTAAAATCTATCCTCGCTCCTCGTTCGAACTTCCGGGTTTTAAACTGCTTTAGACAAAACGTTAGAAGCACTTCACCAAATTTGTGTTTTCGTAGAAAGCCGCTGAGCTCAGTTTTCGTTTTTCCAGAAAATACCTAGTTTTTTTAACTAAATTAACTAATAATTTAGCTTATGAACCAAATGGAAGACTTTTTACTGTAAATTTTGGTCGTTTCGCTATATTATATGACGATCTGTATTTGTTTGTTTAATTTACACACAGAAAAATATAGCATGCAGACTTTTGAAATTTCTCTGAATCCATCCGGATTAAAAACGTTGACTTGGTCTAAATAGATAGAAATTATGAAATTTAGTATTAAATTCACATTAATATTAGTCTATTATATTTTTATAATGTCATAGCAAATATTATCTGTATGCTGTACATTTTTCTGCATTGTCACTTTTACTTTTTACCATTTCATACAATTATGCAATCTTGATTTTTGACTTTTTCACTGTTCTTTCCACCTTCCCAGAGTACTAAGAAGCGGTTTTCTAAGGGATAATAAGCGTGGAGATTGTCCCTATGTAATTTAATCCTGTCGATGGATAAGCGATATATTTCCATGTGTGATTATATCTTACATCACAACTGTCAATTTGAGTGGAATTCATAAAATAATGATTCAGGAAAATCTATACAATTATTTGAACTTATAAAAATATTTCACAATTCATTCTTCCAATTAAAAATTCTAGTTTAACTAAATGTGCAATAGTACGTGGTGTAAACTTGTTTGAAAATTCATTTTCTGATAAATATTCATCATAAAAATGTCACAGAATTTTTTATATATTCATAAATTCTCATTTTAAACTAAAAATTAAAAGTTAAGCCACAGTTACAAGCATTTTTCTAAATAATGTACAGAAAATATATGAATATTGTATTGATATTTCTGATCATTCCGTTCATAACTTTCAGTAAAATTCTTAAAAATAAAATTTAGTTATAATTTTTTAAGTTATTAATGACGTTTTTAATCACCAAATTATAACAACAACAACAAACTCTTGGATTTACAGTCAAACCTCGATGTAGTTCCCTTCTAACTAGCGCCATCCTCATAAAGCATGTAAATGGAGATTGGCCATGAATATTATAGAACCCTTCAGTAATTGTAAAATACTAAATATACGATTTTGCATTGTAAACTACAGTTGTTACCAAATCACAGGATTTTCAATCTCTCATCATCAAACGTGCATGTAGACTTCTTTATTACATAATTCCTATTGTCTAAATTTCGATTTAGTGCCAATTTAAGAGGAGAAGGAATAGCGGCGTTAAATCTAGGTTGGACAATATATTCGTGTCTGTACAAAAAAAAACTGAAGCTAGCGTTTCTCTCTTGATAACGTTAAAATAATAAGTAAATATAATACGGATGTATATTGCATTCACGTAAGAGATATGATGCAATACTTTTGGATTAGTATGAATCTCTATTATCTTTTATGATAATATACAAAACAAACAAACAGGCAAACAGCAAAAGTAAGCAAAATTTTTAAACTTATTATCTTATATCTGTTTAGATTACGGACATTTTAAAGTACAAAGAGGAAAGGTATGCAAAATAAGCAAAACTTTTTGCTTACTTGTTTTGCTTACCTTCACTGTTTTTGCACTTTAAAAATGTCCACAATTTAAACAAATATGACCTAATAATTTCAAAAGTTATTGCTCTTGAAAAAATAACAATTAATGAGTATTATAAACATTTCAATAGCCCAATATTTTCCTTATTCTTTATCCCCTCCTCAGAGCAGTGTAAACGGTTATCTAAGATTAAAAAGTGTGGAGTTTATCCTAAGCATTAAATCGACTCCCTGATAAGTTTCTTTGATAGAAATATTGAAATATTATAATAGTCTGTTCATAAAATACGTAAACACAGATATTAGTGGGTGGGTGTGCAGGTAAACGTCACAAAGCCTTACAATGGATAAGGTGTTTACAAAAACATTACGCAATGTTTTTGTTTCTAAAATGTTGTGTAGCAAACCGTACTGTTTATGTCATTTGCTTTGTACATTGTACCGGTACATGTAATTAATAAAATAATAGTAGGTCGTGCTGTGTATTATTTCTTAGTACAATTAAGGAGAATTATGAAGGGTATTCACTGCATAATTTTGGAGGTTTGTTATGTTTGACGGCATTGCAGAGCGTTACAGGTGGTGGGATGGAAGTTTTCCATGCATTACAGAATACAAGTATAAATATTTACGTACTTGTCAGAGAGTATGTACATGTTTTCAGCAAAATTTACAGACATATCCATTACATCCGGAACAGTAGCCAACGGATATAATTGCTTAATCTTTCAAAAACTGCATCATCATCTTTAATTACATTTAATAAATGTTATTAAAACTTTAATATTATATCTGTATCTGTAATTTATCAATAAGAGAAAGCGAATTGAAGGTAAACTTATATCTTTGAAGTGTTACATATTGTTATAAATACGATCGATGATTGTTTACTTTAAATTATCATTCTTTCCAGCTTTGGATAATTGCCCAAAATGATAAAAACTTTAATCATTGTTGCATTTGAAGCTGATAGAACAAGCATTAAAGATAAATTTGATAAAAAAAAAAACATTGTTTGACAACAATTCTCAGTAAAATAACGATATTAATTAAATTGGGAGAATGTGAACGTATAGAATTATGAAAAACAATGTTCCTAAGTACTTAAATGTGTATTAAATAAATTTAAACTCAGGAACAATACTTTTATAATTAAATAAATATAATAAAATATAATTAAAATATATGGAGTATTTACGTAATTTATAGCTTGCGTAATGCAGTCATTAACGCTTCGCGAGGAATAATGGTTCCTATCACTAATAGTTTAACAATATTCAATTTTAAAAAAGTCTCTCAGAGGTCAAAAAGGCCCTTTTTAGATTTTACCATATAAAGAAATACCGTTAAAAATTTAATTTCATTATATTATTTTTTCTCCTGTAAACAAGATATTAATAATAGTATAATATTTTTAATACACATGAATTGCAATAAACTGAATCATTTAACAACGATTTTTGAGGCCCTAACCAAATGGTCTTGCTGGCCTCTCCAGAGAAAGCTTTTCAAAAATAGTTGCGAAATTAATAACTATCTTTTATTAACATGCTTTTAGAAACAACGTTTTGTAGTTCAAACAAATAAAATTTAATTAATTTTTTGTGTGTCAATGGAGAAGGCCTATCCCCTGTAGCCCCTCACTCCATATATACGCCACTGACACTAATAAGAACTTATGTAAACAACAATAAAAAATGCAGACATCGTGTTTTTTACAATTATAAAAAATTACCTTATCTAGCGCAGCAATTCATAAGCTATATTTCGCGAGCTACTTTAAATTTAATAGGCAATTTTTTTAACTCAACCCATTTTAATAACGCAACTGAAACATATATAGGTCTACGTGTGTGTTTATAAAGAAACAAGTAAAGAAAGTGTCTCTTATATCTCAACAGAATGAATCATACTTTATTTGGAACAGTGTCCTTTCTTGATCGATAATGATTATTTAATTTTTATACTTGATATGTACTGACGTTAATGTTTTTCTCGAGTTTTTGGACAAATTTTCTTCAAAGTTCCACTTAAAAAATTGTTTGACGTTTGTCATTTCAAGAATTTTAAGAAAAATTGTTACTATTGTAACATTGCTTCAATCGTATCAACCTATGAAGAATGAAAACCTGATAAAGTTTCGCCAACCAGCTTGGTCGTGGGTTCACGCCTGGTCACGTGTTTTCCGGGTTTTCTTCACGTTTGCAATGCATAAATAGGGAACAGTTTTCTAGGAAAACTGACCCTTGTTTATGTATTGCAAACGTGAAGAAATCAGGATTGGATCCAGTTATGATCCAAGTTGCCATATTGGACATGTTACAATAACATAACTTGTTTATATGTACAGTACATTAATTACTTGTGTTAATATCTTAAATAAAATCGTATTTAAGAGAGATTTCATTTTTATTAATAACATTAATATTATATCTAAAGCTATAAATAAAATTATAAGATATTGTTGCAAAATTTCGTAAAAATATGTTTGAACGCTATACTACATGCACTATTTCTCATGCATTTAATGCTGCTAAATAGTAACATCCTCTAATTTCCGGCCCACCAGTAACGGAAATCACTAAACACTGATAGGTGGTCGCGGGTTCGTGCCTGGCAAACAGACTAGGGCACGTAGTTTTCCAGGTTTCCTTGACGAATGTAATAAATAGCTACCATTTTCCCTGGGAGAACTATCAATGATTAATCGTCCGTGTGTTGCGTTGTCTTCTTCCATCAAACGAAACCTCTAATTTCATTTAATTTATACCGTTTGGATATTTGATTCGTAGAAAGGCCCCAGGGAAGACTTGAAAAATTTATCTCTATTTAGATGTTAGACACGTGAACGAAAATCCGGATAACTCCACGCGATGAGCCGTTGGTGGGCGCGAACCCGCGACCTCATCAATCTGTTCCATGGTTTTATCCACTGTGCCACTGCTGGGCTAATTTTTATCGTTTTCTTTACACCTATCATCATAAAATACTTGTCAATTATTATATGATTGACTATTATAATATTATTGCAATGCATTATTCATTCTATAATAAAGAACTAAGGAAAACGACAAGCATGTGCAACAAATTGTTGCACAAATTGAGTTGGAATTTTTGTTGTATTTATCTGTAAATTGATTAGTTTTGTATGTCATATAATGTCGGTGTGTGTTAAAACTATAGTTTAATTCCTACCAAAGGAAAAACAGAAATTCAATGTAATTTTGAAAATGCAGCAAAATTTATCATTCTTACCTAATATATGAGCGGGAATTGGACCATCGTGACGAATTTTGTCACTTCCATACAATTTAATCAATCTCCTACGAACGTAGGCGTGAAGTTGTTCATAAAGGGGACGTATTTGTTTCCACAACTGTTCAATTTCTTGCTGGAAAGTGTCCGACTCGTATCTCTCTCTCCACATTTCACCCATATCTTCGAATCCTAAAATTAAAACGAATAATTATATCTAAATCTGACGATTTATTTGCCGCGATTTTTTATTTATTAAAACTAGTTTAGTTCCGCTTAAAAAATAAGAAAAAAAAATATATGCGATGCGTTCAATAGATCAGGAAAATGCTAAGATTTGAAGTAACCTTCATAAATTCAAAACTGGTTTGATTAAGGTCGTGATATGCTTCGCGATATTTAATATATTATCAGTTGTAAACACGAAAATTTTATGTGATGAACTTGAAAAATTATGGATAATAGTCTCTCGAATTTAAAATACAATAAAATTCTATTATTATTTTTATTTTTACTATTTATTTTGCTTGTAAAGATAATATGTGAACTATAACATATATATATGTCAAAATATGTACGTATTTATGTACGTATGTTAGGTAAAGGGTTCTATACTATTCAATGTATCTGCACCAAATTCAGTATGAATATTCTTCACATATAAAAAGTACTGTGAGGTCCCTAACAACCACTCCTAAAGTCCATCCTCTCTTAAGCTCGAGCAACTTTTCGTGTTTTGCAATTTCATTATTGCACATACTCAGGCCAATAAACATACATTTTAGTTACTAAGACCATTATTTTTATCACCCTCTCCTAATTCGACATCACTGATCCTCACCCCCTCGAAAGTCTGAGCAACTCCGGGCACACGTAGCTAGTTAATTATAAAAATAGGACTTTGGTTGGCGATCGCTCATTATACAACAAATTATATTATATATACCATTTAATTTTGCTGCCTTATTGCTAAGTTCTACGAAGCGAATATATTTATCCTTGACACGTTTTCCAGAAACATCTCTCCACGATTTCCATACGTAAGCCAATTCTTCATAGTTTCTAGATTTAGTAAGGATTTCTGTCAACTCTACAATAGAAATTAATAATACTGTCAACCCTACAACAAAAATAAATATTTAAATTTATCTTTTCTTTCATTAAATCAATAATATTTGTTACCCGGATCGAGCGAGAGATTGCACTTTTCATCAGTTTCTTTTTTATACGGACATACTTTAGATGTGCTGTAGATGTTCTTCATATCAGCTATCAAGCTATCGTACTGGAAGAAATAAATAAATATACTTGTATACGTGGCAAGAATAATAAATTCTAGCTAATTTTTACACAAACCTCTCTTAATTGATCGTCTGGGAGGGCAGCTTTACCAAGTACAGACAATTTTTTAAACCAACGTCTTATCAGAGGATCTTTGAAAGTTTTCCATGCGAAAGACGTACTGTTCGTCCACGCTTCCTTTACGAATTCGGCATATTTCAAGCTTTCTTCTAACTAAAATTTAAAAAGACTTCAGTATTAATTTAAATTAAGCTTAATTTTATTAAATTATAAACGTATATTTCTCATTTATTTTCATTTTTCCACTAAGCAATGCGAATATTTAAAATTAGAATAGACCATAAACCACGACAAGTGCAGTTATTCTTGATGTATTAATTACCTTTAAAGTATTTGGGGCAAATTCCGGAAAAAATAAATATGTTCTGTTAGTTTTAAGGAAGAGGGAATTATAGAAGTATTTATTGTTTATCTATTTGTTTCACGGTGTGATTTTCCTGCAAAAGGGAAAGATTAGCGTGCATCAAATCCAATCCTTCCAATACATTTCTTATCAGTTTAATAGCGAAATTTGTCATAAACTGTAATAAAATTGGTGGATAATTTTATATACAGCGAAGAATATTCTGAAATAATTTATGAAAATATTAAATTACAAATGATCGATCTCATATACACGCTAGCATAATCTTAGATATAATTATTAAATATTTATTAAAAATATCACGAGATTATGACCTATCTATATTATAGATAATGATAGAAATGGCCTTGCAAAGTTAGAAAGGCTTGATCTTTACAGAAAATTACTTTCCATTTAATCAATTAAAGAAAAAAAAACTGACACTTTTACTCGAAATAATTCAATAGATTTTTTTTATCAGAAAATGTTGAAAATTTATATTATGACGTAACTAGACCTGCTACATCTAAATTCGACCGCCCGAAGTAATCTTTTGACAGTAAACGAGGGCAGTTATCTTTGAAGTAAGGTCGCTACCTACTTGTTTCTAGTTCAAAGTTTAAGTCTAGAAAAAAAAAACATAAAATAATACACTTCCGGGAAGAAGACACCCAATTAAATTTAGAATAAACTTATAAGCAACAAGTTATGCTCTGACATCATTTGGTTAAGTCGCAAAATTAATTAATTATTATCAGCGATATTTTTTTCGATTTAACTAGTGATGTGTGTATATATAAAAGCTATTGTTTATAAGTTTGAAGGATATTTATTTATTTTTTTAAATTTATTTTCAGGCTCAATGATTTTTTCCTTGAGTAAGTCCTCGAAAAACAACAAAAAATTGACACACCCTAGTATCAATTTTTTTTTTTTGTATTTTGTATAAAAGTTTTGCTTTACTGATTTATAATCACTCGTAGAATAACGAAAATCTTGCGAGTAGATGATATTGCAGTTATTGCCAATACGCCTATTGCTTTTAAACAATAACAAGTAAATTCACCTTTACTGCATAGTCACTGGTATACTGTTCGATAGAAAGCTGAAGATCGAACTAAATAATTGGTTTCACAATAGAAAAATTAAGTTAGCTATC